TGTTTAAAGAGCACTGACTGTACACCATTTTGTAAACCTTTTGCATATTTTCCTTCTTTTTTCTTTTTTTTATCTGTTTTATTTCTTATATACACATAAAATAATTAAAAACATTTAAGTCTGCAGTCCTCAATAAGGAACAGTCAAATTCGACAGTCTTCCACCAGCTCAAAGCATTAAAAATAGAGGGAGGAGCTCACAGGGCATTAGAAGAGACCTGTAAACCCCTATATCAATCATTCTCAACCTTCCTAAAGCTGCGACCCCATAATACAGCTCCTCGTGTTGTGATGAACCCTAACCAAAAATTATTTTCATTGCTACTTCGTAATTGTAACTTTGCTACTGTTATGAATCATAATGTAAATATTTGATATGCAGGATGTATTTTCATTCACTGGACCAAATTTGGCACAAATACCCGATACGTCCAAATCTGAATGCTGGTGGGGTGGGGTGGGGGGTTGATTTTATCATTTGGGAGTTCTAGTTGCTGGAATTTATAGTTAACCTACAATCAAAGAGCATTCTGAACTCCACCAATGATGGAATTGAACCAAACTTAGCACACAGAACTCCCATGACCAAGGGTTTGCTGAGCATTGAACTTGAATTTGGGAGTTGTAGTTCACCTACATCCAGAGAGCACTGTGGACTCAAAAAAAGATGGATCTGGACCAAACTTTTGTAATCTGCCTTGGGTCCCACTCTGGGAGAAAGGCAGCATATTAATTCAAGCAAGCAAGCACAGTATGACCTTTGCCAAATAAAAAAAAAGCAGAATCCTCAAACACATGGATTAAGGTTTGAGTTTTGTTATCCAAACCTTAATCCATGGTGCAATGGGTTAAACTGTTGTGCTGCTGAACTGCTGACCTGAAGGTTGGTAGTTCAAATCCGTGAGATGGGGTGAGCTCCCATCTGTCAGCTCCAGTTCCTGCCAACCTAGCCGTGAGTAGATAAATAGGTACCACTTCAGCAGGAAAAGGCAAAGAGGCGCTCCAAGCAGTCTTGGCAGCCACACAACCAGGAGGTGACAACACAGGATCCTCGGCTTGAAAATAGAGAAATTACCTCCCCAGAACAAGAGATGAGGACCGTCTCCAGGAGCCGGAAATGAAAGGAGAAGCCTTTGCTTTTGTTTGTGTTTGTCTCTCTCATTGTATATTATTGTAAAGGCATTGAATGTTTGCCTATGTTGCTGTAATCCACTCTGAGTCCCCTAGCTGAGAAGGGTGGAATATAAATAAAGTGTATTATTATTATTATTATTATTATTATTATTATTATTATTATTATTATTATATGGTTTTCGCATCCCCCAAATGAATGCATTCACAATCTTTCAAATGTTTGTTTTTGGTGTATGCTTTATTAGAACTCTGGTCAGCTCAGTGCAGATTTTCACAGTTAAGATGTACTGCATGTAATAAAGGTGTGTTGGTTGCAGCACGACAGCAATGTGTTAGTGCTTAACCCAAAGTACGAAGACAAATATGCATAAGCAAAACAGAAGACACAGCTTCTTGCTGTCCCTATCAGAGGACCAGAATGCCAAAGAGCCCTTTCACATCCTTATAATACAAAGATTTCCACCTTCAACTTATTTGGCCACTTGGATACTTGGATAAATAACTAAAGCATTCTGGAAGAGAATTTAGAACAACCCTCTCTAACTTGAAAATTCCCACATCCAATAGGAAGAAACCACAGCAGATAGAGGAGACTCATAGTACTATAACTTGGCACAGGAATAGTTAAGCCTCATACCTATGCTATGGGTAAAAGTAGGCACGCGGGGCACTGTTTACCATGACAAATAAGAGCAGTACCAGTGGCGTAACAGCAGTACTACACAGGAAACAGTGGCCAGGCAAGCTTTACATGCAATGAGCATGAGCTCATCATGCTGGGAGAGCCGGTTGCACGGCTTCACACTTGCCACAGACATGAAAACCATCAACGCCATCTCCTTCCTAATGCACTTGTGACTCCTGAGTTTGACCACTCTAGGCTTCCGAACTAGCACACGTCACAGCATTTCTCCAATACAGTTTTCTCAGTCCATTCAGCTCAGATTGTTATTATACAGTGCCACAGAGTCAAAGGGAGCTGCAATTAGACTCATAGAGTTGGAAAAGACATCAAGGGTCATCCAGTCCAACCTCCTCCTGCCAGGCAGGAACAAGATTTATCCACAAAGCACTAACTTATCTTCTCTTATATCGTTCCTTATTAGTAACAAGCCTTACTTTGAATATACTTGCGTTTGCTGCCTTAACCTGGCAGTTTCTTCCCCCACACCGCCACTTCCAGTACATTGAAGATTGCAGAAAGTTGACCATTTCCACCTTGGCAGTCACCTTTCCACAAAAGTTGCCATTGACACTGAAATACAACACTGCCTGAGCTCTGTGAGTGCAGCATTCTTCTGAATGAAGCAGAGAGTGTTTGAGAATTGGGACATCCATTGGGATACCAAGGTGAGTTGTTTATAAAGCTATTATCCTCCCAACCCTGGTATACACCTGCAAAACGTGACATCACACTGAAATCCTGCAATTTCCTTGGGAAGACAGGTGGACAAATGTCAGTATGCTGGAAGAAGCAAAAACCACCAGCACTGAAGTGATGCTCCTATGTCATCAACTCCCTTGAACTGGCCACGTTGTCCGAATGTCCGATCACTGTTACTCCCAACTCAAGAATGGAAAACAGAAAGTTGGTGGACAGGAAAAGAGATTTAAAGATGGACCTAAAGCTAACTTTAAAAACTGTGGCATAAACACCAGGAACTGGGAAGCCTTGGTCCTTGAGCGCTCTAACTGGAGGTCAGCTGTGACCAGCAATGCTGTGGAATTTGAAGAGGCACAAATTGAGGGCGAATGGGAGAAACTTGCCAAGAAGAAGAAGGTGCATCAAGCCAACCCTGACCAGGACTGCCTTCCACCTGGAAACCAACGTCCTCACTGTGGAAGAACATGCAGGTCAAGAATAGGGCTCCACAATTACCTACGTATCCATTGCCAAGAGACTACACTTGGAAGGCCATCATACTCGGACAGCGAGGGATCACCTAAGTAAGTACGTTGAAGATCATTAAAGTTTGGAAAGGGTTTCTCTTTAGGGCTACATCAGAACCCCCCAGCAAATTGGCCAGGACTTGTATTCTATCCCTGCCCACTAAAGCTCTGACAATAACTAGAGCTACAAATAGGTCTTAAACAGATATAGTCCCAAAAGAAACTTTTGCAAGCTGTTGTTGCTTGGACAATGAGCCAGAGCTTAAAAAGAAAACAAGACACACGGAGATGCTGGCTTGGATAGATCTACCCCATCTCTCCTATTTTAGCACGGAATCCTCTAAATGGGTTAGACTCCCAGTCCCATCATCCTCACTGCGAGAACTTGGGACATTCAATCTGAAAATTAATTTAATAGCTTTAATGATTAGAAATAAGAAACTTCATGAATTGCCACAAACAAAGAATAATTTAAATGATTTAATTATTTACATTACAAACATTTGCAGAGAATGCCATGGAAGGTGTCGTTGTTGATTTTGAAAGATCACACATTGTTCTTGGTTTCTTCAAAAGGGCTTCTTTGGTGCTTTCAAAGCTATCTGCCTCAAATCTTGATCCCGCCCTCCCAACATGGACTACAATGCCTATAATGATTGTTGCCTGGGAATGGTGGGAGTACCATTCGTAGGGGAATTGCCAGGTTGGTGAAATCTGTCCCATGGCATAGGATCTCATTCAATATCCTCTTCAGTGCAATTTGCCACTCATCTGCCTCTCTCTCTTTTTCTCCCACTCCCACCAATATGTAATACTTCACACACTCTTCCAATGCCTTGTTTGTTAAAGATGAGTTGATGGATTTCAATGCAAAGACACCAATCCACTGCAAGGACAGGAATACGTGGATAGCCACAAAAGATCAGTCACTGAATCAAGGGTAGAGAACTGCTAATCAGAAAATGTCTGAGACCCCTCTGAGCATATGCAGGACATTTCCCTGTACAATTACGTCTATTATTTCTTCCTCGTTCTTTATCAAGAAATGCGTGCTGCAAAGATCTATTGTAGAACATATGTTTTCCATGCAGTAGCCAGGGATTCTGAATTCAATCCATAGTACAGCATCTCTAGTTGAAAACGTTGCATATCTAACGACTTCATCATTCACTACTCCCCTCTTACAAGCATTGATTTTCTTTAAATCTCTTGTCCTTGGATTATGAAACTAGGGGCCCATCCAGACAGTACCTTTATCCCAGGAGCTTCCACAGAAAACAGGGAGGGTGGCCAAATGCCATTCCTTGTAAACACAGAAGCAATTGCTACAAAAGGCAAAAAAGCAAGATTTCCAGGTGTGGGAATATTGCAGTTTTGAACCGAATATGCAGATCTTCGCATGTCTGTATGTCCCTGCAATCGGAAATCATGGGATTTCTAATCTGGGTTTGTTCCTGGGTTTTAGAAGTTTGTTCCTGATTTGTATGTTCCTAAAAAGAAGGTGACACTTGAGTAGAAAGCAAAAATGTTGTTTGTGTGCTAGAAACTTCATGAAACATGTGGAGGGCACATTTTCTCTGGCCAGGACAAAGTTGTGGCCCCTTAGTCAATGTTGTACATCTTTTTACAAGAAGAGCTATCAGGAACAGCCATGTATAACCCAGGAACAGCACCCTGTTGTTTGATGCCACAAGTACACAACCAAATCTGTCTGAACAGATGGCCAGGCAGCTAGGCTCTAAAATGTGCCAATAATGACCATGTTCTGTTCCTAGCTTGAAAGTGTGTGCACCTGTTTCATTGTGCAGCGCTGACTTGGGTAGAAGTAGTCCTACCCCATTAAGTTTGTTTGTGTGGTAGATCCTTCATGAAATGTCTGGAGGGCACACTTTCTTTGGTCAAGCCAAAGAATGGAACTTTTGCAATCCACATATCCGTATCTCACAGGTTTTAAAGAAAACTGCAAAGGTTTCCAGTGGCAGCCATCTTGGTAGCCTCTAAGTCTCGCAACAAAGCATCAAGTCTGGACAATGGAGGCAGAAATCCTGGGACCTCTTCTGAAGGCTCTGGATTTTTGCCCCTGTTTAAAACCCACGATTTAGTGCTGTCTCGAAGTGCCCTAAATGATACCAGCACTCAGTCTTTTTGAGTGAATGAATCCAGGCATCAAAACCTGGACTACCTGAAGTGTGCAAAGAAAGGAACATACCTTGGGTACTTAAGAATTCATCTGTTGGCTCATCTGGGGAAAATCGGCTTATTTACGGTGGATGGAGCAATCCTATCCTACCTGCCTGGGTGTAAATCCCACTTAAATGAACCTAAGACTTATGGTGCATGTGCACTATAGAATTAATGCAGTTTGAGACCACTTTAACTGCCATGGCACAATGCTATGAAATTATGGGAGTTGTAGTTTTATAAGGTCCTGACTGCCCAGCCATGTGGAACATTGTTCTTGCCCCTGTTCTTCATCATAGCTCACTAGAGGGAAAACCCAGAATTGCTTGTGTAAATATAAGCTTGAAACATGGATTTTGATATTTCTGATGCTTCTGTTTGTCATATTCCTCCTTCCCCTGGGTTAGGGAATTATCACTGTCTCCCAGGAGCTCCATGTAGTCATGCCAGCCACATGACCTAGGAGGTGTCTATGGACAATGCCGGCTTAGAAATATAGATGAGGACCACCCAGCAGAGTTGGACTCAACTAGACTTAATGTCAAGGGAAAGCCTTTGCCTTTGCCCAGGAGTCATAAGAGCAGAGACAGTAACAGGTCTATATTTTGCTCCAGCTCTGTGCCCAAAGTGAAACGAGTAACCCCTTGAAATATCTCGGCAGCCGAGTGAGAAGAGAGAGAAACAGCAAGACACCCACAGATTCTACTGCTGAAGTCCATCAACGTTAAAGAAAGCTAAGAGAAACCAAATAGGGAAAAAAGATAAAACAAGATAAAAAAATAAAACAAAGCCACAATTAATTTCTCATGGAGAATCTTATGTTCCTTTGTGTCATCTGTTTAACAATGTTGTAGTCCGGATTTTTTTATTTATTTTCACGTGTTTGTGTCCACTTCTCTTCTTGCATCCCTGAATCACTTCAGAGTCCTCTGGTCCATACGATGCTATTTGTCATAATGGTTTATGAGCCAAAACGACTGTCCAGAAGCTGGCCAACAGGAGGTTTATGATGAGTCTTTGCAATGAATGAGACCAGAAGGGGTTGGGAGAGGAAGAGGTGCAGGAACAGACCTCAATCTTCGACTGGCTTTCATCATGCTTGGCGTGTTGCCTGGTTCTCGTGCTTTCGGCTGGTGCAGGGGCATCAGCCTGCATGTCACCACACACCAACCAGTCTCTGGCAATCGACTGCGGGTAACCTGGCTCAGCCTCCAAGTTGCTGTCCATGACTTTCCAGTATTCCTTCCCCTTGAAGAAGTAGGTTGCCCCTGAGAAAGGAAGCCAAGGGTGAAGGTGAATTAATCTGGACATCTTTTCCCCCCGCCCAGTCTAGTATTTTGCTCTCTTAATAGTCAACCAGTTGCCTATGAGAAGCCAACAACAACAAAGCACAATAGCACCATCTCTTGGAAATACCAAACTCACAGCTCAAAGCAGAATTCATTTTTGATTAATTGCTTCAGCAACAAGTGACTTTAAAAAAAAAGGATAAGGTGGAATAGAGTTATATTTTTTTCTCATAATGGCCCTAGTCATAAATCACTTTTCAGTGGAACAGATGACTTTGGCTGAGCAATTTTTTTTATGTCAGAAACAACTTGAGAAACTGCAAGTCACTTCTGCTGTGAGATAACTGGCCATCTACAAGGACATTGCCCAGGGGAAGCCCAGATGTTTTGATGTTTTACTATCCTTGTGGGATGCTTCTCTCATGTTCCCGCACGGGGAGCTGGTGCTGACAGAGGGAGCTCAACTTGCTCTTCCTGGATTCGAACTGCTGACCTATCAGTCAGCAATCCTGCTGGTACAAGGGTTTAACCCATTGCACCACCGGGGGCTCAGGCTAAGCAATGGGAAAGGGAGAAGAAAGGATGACATGGGTGTCTGCCTTGAGCTATACCTGGAAATGACTACATTGTTATGTGTTTTGCAGATAGCTAAGAATATCCACACTTGGATATCTAAACCGATGACTTTTAAAGCTATTCAAAAGGCATCTAGGGATATTTTTTGACACATATGGATGGATCTTTCTTTTTTGCCATTTCCTTATCAGTCATAAGCCTCCTTTAAAAAACCCTGTGAAAATGTAGCAAGGTGTCACAACTTCTTTGAAATCATGACATAAAAGTCAACATGGGACATACAACTATTCTATCTATATACTATATAGAAACATACAAGATTTGCTGAGTTTCGTGGGAAGAAAGCAAGTGCCACAAAGGCACTCGAAGATTTAGATCAAGTGAAAATAGAGAGAGAGAGATATCTATGACATGCAGTAGACTCGATGACAAATGCTAAATTTTTTTTTACAAAAGAAACAGATTTGACTTACGTAGATAAACCACTAGTTGCAAGAAAATGCAACATTACGGAACAGAGGGGAGGAAGACAAAGGGACAAAGACTTACGGTGAAGGAGAAGAAAAGAAAAAATGGATAACGAACGTTTTTGGAATGAGGGAATTATTGTTATTTTTTATTATTATTATTATTATTATTATTATTATTATTATTATTATTATTTACTTTTCTCCCACAAATGGGACTCAAAGCGGCTAGCAGATAAAAAAGGACAACTTGTCACAGATGCAGGTAAAATGTCAGGAGAGAATGCTTCTAGAGCATGACCATACAGCCTGAAAAACCTACAACAACCCAGTGATTACGGCCATGAAAGCCTTCAACAATGCAAAAAAACCCATCATCCCACCCAACATATGACCCATAAATCCAGACATTGCAAAACCACAAGTTACGTAAATATAAATAGACATAAAATAATCACATATATCATAATTATTAAAATTCCTGCACCTCAGGCCACTGAGGTTGTCCTAACATTAAAACATGAAACATTAAACTAAGCGACTCAGAGCCATGTGAATCTTATCTGGCTGAGATAGCTGCTATTGTGTATTGTCAGGGAAGGCCTGCTTCCATAAAAAAGGTTACCTGGGAGCGGAAGGCCAGTAGCAAGGGGACTGAATATACCTCTTTGGGGAGAGAGTTTCAGAGCAGTGGGGCCATCATCGAAAAGGCCCTCTCTCTCGTTCCCACCAACCGTACTTGTGACGGTGGTGGGACTGAGAGGAGGGCCTCTCCTGATGATTTCAGGGCTCATGTGAGATGGTAGGAGGAGATGCGGTCCCTCAAATAGGAAGTGGATAAATTGGTTATGATGAATGTGGAGGAAATAGATTACTTTGTAAAATAATGGGAATTAAATCTGAATTTTGTGAGAAGAAGAAAAAAAGGAAAAAGTTCTTAGAACAGGCTTCACAAGTTGATCCTTGTTTTCTAGAATCTTTGCTTGGAATATTTAGATGATGATGGTTGTGCTAGAAAGAAGAATGAGAGAATGTTTTACTGGGAAGACAAGACAGGGTTGAACTAATTAATTTTATTATTACGGTCACAGACCAGAAGTTTAAAACAATAAAACCAGAGGGTTTTTAAAAACAACATCATCATTAAAACCAGAAACTCAAAACATTAAAAGAAGGGACAGGGTTGTATATGAATGTCTTCAGCTCAAAGGATGGGCGGTCACTGCAACAGGATGGGTGGGCAGAGTGAATAGTAAAATAGGGACCAATTGTTGTAGGCACTGTTCAGAAGTGTATGTGTTTATGTATACATATCTGTGTAGGTTTTGGAGGAGAGGGGAAGGGGGAGGGGGGAAGTAATCATATCAATATATTGCATCTGATTTTGATCAAAAATGTAATCTCTGGAATACAATTTTAGAAATAAAACTTCTGAATGGAAAAGATCTGGTTCTCTTAGACCTCTCAGCAGCTTTCGATACCATTGACCTTGGTATCCTTCTGGAGCACCTTGTGGGAATGGGACTAGGAGACACTGTGTTACAGTGGTTCTGGTCCTTCCTAGAGGGTAAGGTCCAGAAGATGGAACTAGGAAACTCCTGCTCAACCCCACAGCCTTTCACAGGGTTCAATTCTGTCCCCAATGTTGTTTACAATGTTGTACTGTTTTGTGTTTTACTGTTACTGCTTTAATGTTTTTTGGTTTGCTTATGAGTTATATAATGTATTGTTGTGCTGTTGTTTTATTGAGGGCCTTGGCCTTTGTAAGCCGCATCGAGTCCTTCGGGAGATGTTAGCGGGTTACAAATAAAGTTAATAAATAAATAAATAATAAATTTAACATCTACATGAAATGGTTGGGAGAGATCATCCGGAGCTTTGGAGTTTGATGCCACTCTGCCCCTGAACCAGTGTCTGTCAACTGTGATGGACTGGATGAGGATGAACAAATTGAAATTGAACCCAGACAAGACAGAGGTACTGCTGGTCAGTCACTGAGCTGGCCAAGGTATTGGGCTGCAACCTGTGCTGGATGGAGTCACACTCCCACTGAAGGTGCAGGTTCGCAGTCTGGAGGTCCTCCTGGGCTCAGTGCTGTCCCTGGAGTCTCAGGTGTTGGCTGGAAGGCCTTTGCACAGTTAAAGCTTGTGCTCCAGCTGCGCCCATACCTTGAGAAGCCCCAATCTGGCCATCGTGATACACTCCTTAGTCACATCTAGATTAGACTACTGTAACGTGCTCTATGTGGGGGTGCTCCAGAAGAGTGTTCGGAAACTGCAACTGGTATAAAGTTCAGAAGATAGACTGCTCATGGGAGCGAGATACAGGGGAAAAACTACCCCACTCCTGGAGCAGCTACACTGATTGACAGTTTGTTTCCGGGCGCAATTCAAGGTGATAGCTTTAGCCTATGAAGTCCAAATTAGTTCAGGCTGAGCCTACTTGAGGGACTGCATCTCTTCCTATAACCCTGCATGAGACCTGAGATCATCGGGATAGGCCCTCCTCTCAGTCCCACCACTGTCACAAGTACAGTTGATGTGAACGAGAGAGAGGGCCTTTTCAGTGGTGGCCCTGTGGCTCTGGAACTCCCAAAAAAGTATCATCAGCCCCCTCCTTATTGGCCTTCCACTCCCAAGTGAAAACTTTTTTTATGGAAGCAGGCCTTCCCAGATGACATACAATAAAAACCAGCTCAGCCACACAAGACTCATATGGCTAAAGTCTTGAAGCTTTGAGTTGTTTAGTTTAATGTTTAATGTTTTAACTTGTTAGGATAGCCTCAGTGGCCCGAGCCATAGGGTTTTCAATGATAATGTTATATGTGATTGTTTTATGGTTATTTATATTTATGTAACTGTGTTTTATCCAATGTCTGGATTTATTGTTTACATGTTGGGTGGGTGGGATGACTGGATGGATGGGATAACTGTTTTCAGATTATGTAGCTGTCTTATTATCATTGTATGCCACTTTGAGTCCCAGATGTGGGAGAAAAGTAAAATAATAATAATAATGACAACAACACGACTTTTCTTTGAAACAAGGGGTGAGACGGGTGGAATACCTGACACAAAGCAACATTTAGAATAGCAAGTTACTTTTAAGACACAGCAATGAATTATTTTTCCAAATACCACAATCAGTGACAAGAAAGACTTTGTTTTTCAAGGCTCCTTTAAAAAAGAATAAGGCTGTTGTGGGTGTCACCAATTCCTGTCTCATTTTATAGTATTCCAAACACAAGACAGCTGTCCATTTTATATTTGAATTGGCACTTTGTGTTCCTCAGCATCTCAGCTTTCTCAAACACCCAACTCACCATCAGACCATCGAGTGGCGTCATCCAACCTGTTGGGGATCCCCTGCCACAAAGTGGTCTCTAGTGGATAGCCAGGCTCCATCCTTTGCTCGTACTCATTGTAGCACCAGTAGAGATTGTCTTTAAAGAAGTATGTCTTGTCATTCAGTGCCCAGGAGAAGGCAGCATCAATTCCTCCCAGCGGCAAGCCAAAATCTGAGATGAGTCGAGGATAACCCTCTTCCACATTGTTGTCTTTGAACAACCAGTATTTGTCTCCTGGAGAGAAGACCAAGGCAGTTAGTATCTCCCATAAAGCAAGATTACACCACCAGTAGCAACTACAGTAGAGTCTTGCTTATCTGACATAAACAGGCCAGCAGAACGTCAGATAAACTAAAATGTTGGATAATATGGAGTCTCCTACTGTTACCCATTCAACGTGGCGCCAGACACCTAGAATACTAACAACAGGGACTCAAAGGGTTAAGGCAAGGCAACGCCTCGGGGCTAGAATAGCCCACCAGGAAGTGCCCAGATGAGCAAAAAGAGTGCGGAAATCACAGAAGGAAGGAGGGAGGACGCTTCTGCTTCCAGTCATGCCTCTTTTCCCCCTTTCCTTCCTCCTCTTCCTCCTCGTCTTGCTTTTTCACTTATTGGGAATGCAGAGCGAGTTGGGGAACACTCCTTTAATTGAAGGGGAAATGCTGGAGGAAAAGGTAGACGTCGGATAAGAGTGCTGGATAAGATGGAATGTTAGATAAGCGGAGGTTGGATAAGTGAGACTTTACTGTAATGGCTTCCAAGTCGGGTGTGTGTGTGTGTGTGTGATGAATCCATTTTGGCTTTCATTCCAGACATTCCAGACATTAAAGAGGGACATAGGATTCAGTACCTCGCACCACTTCTTCACAAGGATCCACTGAACCCCTGACATGTGAGCCATCCACTGCAACTGGGTATGCCTTTTCTTTTTGCCATGTCAGTTGTTTATTTTTAAATCCCACACTTTGGGAGGCAAAAATGACTTTTGAGCCACAAGGAGTGGCAGGTAAGACATAAAATAATAATAACAATTACAATAATAATAATATCCCCACAACAAATCCACAGCTTGTTGAGGAAACTGTTTTCACAAGGATGTGTGCCTCTCTAAATCTTGAGAGAACCACAGAATCATAGTTGGAAAAAATTGCATGGGCAATCCAGACCGATCTCCTTCTGCCAAGCAGGAAAAGCACAATCAAAGCACCCCTGGCAGATGGCCATCCAGCCTTTGTTTAAAAGCCTCCAAAGAAGGAGACTCCACCGGTTATCCCAGGAGCGTCCGTGTTTAAAAACACGGATGTTCCCGGGGGCCCATCTACACACCCCAGAAAGCACGTGCTTTCTGGGGTTGGTGTCTGGATGTTCTTCTGGGACTTCCCGGGAGATCACTTGGACCCTTCCCAAATGCCCTAAAAAGCCCTTTTTTAAAAAAGTACTTACCCGGCCTCCATGGGGGGGGGGGGGGGGGGGGGGGGGGGTCAGGAGCGATTTTACTCCTAATTTACTCCTAACCGTGGGAATACTGATTTTACTCCTAACCGTGGGAATACTGTCTGGATTGCAGTCCAGACACCAGACGTAGTGGATTTAAACTCACTATCAAATTATTTGCCACAAACCTGTGTTTTCCTGGTTTGTGGCATATTAATTCAGGTTTGTCCAGAACGTCATCTGAACACACACCCCTTTTTATTGCGGGAGTTTCCACAACAAAGTGGCTGTCTGAATGCGTCCTCAGAGTATCAGTTCACAGTATGGCCAAATTCGTATCATTCAGGCAAAAGGGAGAGGTATCACAAAATGTGGGAGAGCTCCATGGTTTGAAGAAGTCTATAGGTCTTTTTTTTTGGGGGGGGGGGGTGGCATGAGGAGAGAACCTCTAATATTTTATTGTTTTATCAGTGGCTTGATTTTCTTGTATGCTGTGATTTTAAACATCACAAATGAAAACTGTTTTGGTTTTTTAAAGAATGAAATGCCATATAGAAATGCGAAGCAAATAAGTTAAACAGACTGATGAAAACTGAATGTGCTCAGTGAGCATGGGATTCTGTCTGATCCATAGCTTAGAAAGCTACTTTTAAAAACTACAATCCCCAGAGGGCATTGGGATGCATAACAGGTCAAAAAATGGGAGTGAAAATGGAAGGAATAATATTGAATGTGAATGCCACAATAGTCCTCCCAACCCTGCTATACGCCTGCAAAACGTAGACTGTCTACAGACGTAATATGCAACTCCCGGAATGATTCCATCAGCGCTGCCTCCGAAAAATCCTGCAAATCTCTTGGGAAGACAGACAGACAGACAAATGTCAGCGTGCTGGAAGAAGCCAAGACCACCAGCACTGAAGCGATGGTCCTCCGCCATCAACTCCACTGGACTGGCCATGTTGTCCGAATGCCCAATTACCATCTCCCAAAGCAGTTACTCTACTCCAAACTAAAGAATGGAAAAAGGAATGTTGGTGGACAGGAAAAGAGATTGAAAGATGGGCTTAAAGCCAACCTCAAAACTGTGGCATAGACACTGAGAATGGGGAAGTCCTGGCCCTTTAGCACTCTAACTGGAGGTCAGCTGTGACCAGCAGTGCTGTTGAATTTGAAGAGGCATGAATGGAGGGTGAAAGAGAGAAACATGCCAAGAGAAAGGCACATCAAGCTAACCCTGACCGGGACCACCTTCCACCTGGAAACCAATGTCCTCACTGTGGGAGAACATGTGGATCAAGAATAGGGCTCCACAGCCACCTATGGACCCACTGCCAAGACACTACATCTTGAAGACCATCATCCTCAATCTACGAGGGATCGCCTAAGTAAGTAGGTCTGGTGCAACCTGTTTTGAAATTGGCAATACTCTTTGTCCGTCTGTCAAAAAGCTTTTGTATTTCCTTATTAAAAATGTTTTAGGTCAAGCTGTGAGTCACAAATGCACCACTGTCTTCTCCTCTTCATCAGACATAAATCTTTATTCTTGTAGGGTTTCTTTCAGGGGGCCAAACTGGCTCACTAAAGAGCTGAAGCCTAAAATTCAGACAAAAGGCAGCAAACTGTTAGTCAAGGTTGTTGAGCTGTTGCATGAGAATGCACATCTGCACATGACTGCCCATACTGTCAACACTCTTCATTTTGAAGAGTTTTGATTTTGCCCCATCGAACCATCACCTCTTTGGACTCCTGAAATACATCCCACGAGGATGAAGATTCTTATCTGATGAAGAGGAGAAGACAGCAGTACATTTGTGGCTCACAGCTTAGCTTAAAATAGGTTTTAATAAGAGAACACAATAACTTGGTGAGAGATTGACAGAGTGTATTGAAAAGCAGGGAGATTGTGTGGTGAAATAATGTATTTTTGCCCTTTCCCAAAAGCCGATTAAAAGAAATTCTACAGCCAGAGAGGTGGGTAACAAATTATCATCGTCGTCGTCATCACCATCATTATTCCTCCTTCATTTTGCCCTAATATCAAGACATGCCCATTTCAAACAGTTTCACTGCAATAGAAGAACAGTGAACTTTGGAAAGACAAACAGAGGGCCATCGGTTGCGGCAGATGTTTTCCCTACCTTTGAAGAATACAATCTTATGATCATGGATCCTTTCATACACGGCATCCACACTGTCTAAATTTAGAGGCAATCCCCGCCAGAAACGATGGATCTGAGCTGGCTGGAGGGAGACCAGGTGCTTATTGCGAGTCAGTCTCCAGAAGTATTTCCCTAGGAGGAGAATGTCAGTCAGAAGGAGAAACAGCATTGTTTAGATCACATGTGTCAAATGCAAGGCCCGCAGGACTAATCTGGCTCGCCAGAACACAACACATATAGGGAAAACAAAATGCAATATAAATGTAGAGCTTAGAATAAATTTATTCCATCTTCATTCAAAAGTACCAAGATGTACTGATATATAGTATAAACTACCGTATTTCATTGCACAATAGTCACACTTTTTCCCTTTTTTCAATGAAAAAAGAGGGTGTTGTAGATCAGCCACCAGAGGCGGATGACTTAACTGATGATTTAGAGGATTGTGAGCACAAAGTGATGGGCTCTCAAATCTGGGAAATTCGGGTCTGGGAAATGATGGTACTCTCTGTGAGAAAACTGGCTCAGAAAGTGCAGGGCCTCAAGGGCTTTCAGGGGAGTCAGAAGTAGCAACAGCAGATAAGGAATTGAGTGAAGCACTGAGTGATAAGGAGAGTTCCCATGAGAACCCACGTGTAGCTACAGAGATCAACAAAAGTCATTCAGGGAGATAATGTGGGAAAGTTGTGAAAGAAATTAACGGAAACAGAATGATTTCATGGGTGTTTATTAAAAAACAAGTTGTTTACCTTAAGGGCAGTTCAGACAACGCTGTGTTAGAGTGAGAAGTTAAGCCTAAGTTCTCTACTTCCTGGTTCAAGTCAAGTTTTGATTTTGGATTTAATATATCCTGGAAAGTTTTCTATGTTCCTGTTCATATACTCCTGTTCAAGTTTCACTGGTTATACCTTCTTGATTGTGGACTTATGCTGGATCTGTGATTTCTGGCTGTTCCTGGACTTTGCCACCTCTGGAACTTTATGACACATTTGGATAATTGTTTGCTTATCACCTGTTGCTAACGCTTTTTGGATTATATATATTCCTTTCTTATTCCTGATTTTATATACTTTTTATATGTTTTTACAATAAACTGTTTGCTTAGATTCCTGGACTCTTGTTTGGTGCAGTGGTCATAGGTGTTTCCAGGTCTGAAGTGCAACAGAGGGTGTGACTATTACATGAGGATAAATTTCTGCAACTATGGGGCTACCCTTGACTGCCAATTCAGAAAAACCCTGCTAAGCTGCCTATGCCCCTGCTAGCAAGAGCTATGAGACCTCCCTCATTTGCATAAAAGTAAATAGCATAAAAATCTCACCTGTGAACTACAGGTGCAGCTATTATGAGGCATCTTAAAATATTAAAACTGGGGTTCAAAAAGGGGGGGGGGTGCGACTATTATGCAATGGTGACTATTATGCAAGGAAATCATAGAATCATAGAATCAAAGAGTTGGAAGAGACCTCATGGGCCATCCAGTCCAACCCCCTGCCAAGAAGCAGGAATATTGCATTCAAATCACCCCTGACAGATGGCCATCCAGCCTCTGCTTAAAAGCTTCCAAAGAAGGAGCCTCCACCACACTCCAGGGCAGAGAGTTCCACTGCTGAACGGCTCTCACAGTGGAAGAACATTAGGAAGAACAAAGTTCTTCCTAATGTTCAGATGGAATCTCCTCTCTTGTAGTTTGAAGCCATTGTTCCGCGTCCTAGTCTCCAAGGAAGCAGAAAACAAGCTTGCTCCCTCCTCCCTGTGGCTTCCTCTCACATATTTATACATGGCTATCATATCTCCTCTCAGCCTTCTCTTCTTCAGGCTAAACATGCCCAGTTCCCTAAGCCGCTCCTCATAGGGCTTGTTCTCCAGACCCTTGATCATTTTAGTCGCCCTCCTCTGGACACATTCCAGCTTGTCAATATCTCTGTATTCTATTTTAGTTCAAAGGCATCAAGTTGTGATAAGACAACCATTTTTCTTCAATCAAAAAATATATAATGACTGAAGTACTGTATGCTAGTTCCTGCATCAATATTTTGATTTTTGTACCCTGTGTTTTGGTGTATATATTAGACATGTGCGTGAAATTTGTTCCTACTGTTTCTACCATTTCTTTCGTGTCTTCCGTTTCTTCAGAAGAATGGAATGGGAACCCCCCTCCCCACATGAAAATCTGCTCGACACAAACACCTGCTTTCATGGGCATCCAAACTTGCCTCCTTGCCTTGGAAAGAGAGTGTGCGTGTGGCGGGGCGTGCAGGCAGGCAGATCCGGAGCTCAGCTGCAGGTGTGCTCTGGGACTGCCTGCATGTCCTGCCACACACACCCTCTCAGAGAGTGTGGCGGGGCGTGTGTGACGGGGCGTGCAGGCAGGCAGGCCTGGAGCACGCCTGCAGCTGAGCACCTCTTACTCTACCACACTTTCTCAAAAACACATCACCCTAAAGGAAGCCATATGTAAGGGTAAATATTTCCCTTGACATTAAGTATAGTCGAGTCTGACTCTGCAGGGTGGTGCTCATCTCCATTTCTAAGCCGAAGAGCCAGCGTTGTCCATAGAGGCCTCCTAGGTCATGTGGGCAGCATGGCTTCATGGAGCGCCATTACCTTTCCACCGAAGCAGTACCTTTTGATCTACTCACATTTGCATGTTTTCAAACAGCTAAGTTGACAGAAGTTGGGGCTAACAACAGGGGCTCGCCCCGTCCCGCGGATTAGGGAAGCCATAAAAGTTGCTAAAAGGGCAAAGAGGTCCTATCTCACCTTTGAAGAAGAAAGCCTCCCCTCGAATCTGAGCCACTGCATCAAAGTGAGTGTTACATCTGTTTGCCGCATCTCGTCTGAGCCTGTTGGAGAAGGAACGAAACCAAACACATAAGTTGTGCCAGTTCTCATTAGTGATATCATAGGATCTACCAACCCAGCAGGGCTTCTTCAAATGTTTAACAGAAGCAAACCGTGTAACTGTTGTGGCTCATAGACAAACTCTCCTCTTATCCTTCAAATGTATTCTGTTCTCTAAGAACAGCAGAAAAAGCCTTTTCTTGCCAGTGTAGTATAGCTTTAGACAGCAGCTTAACTTTTTTTCTAACCTGATCCATAAGATCCAGCAGTGGGTGCCACTTACTAAGTGGCAAACCACCGAGCAACTTACTGACATACACCAGCCACACATAACACAAATACATACCTTCATCTAAATTCCTACATCTCTTAGAGACCTTAGTCTAGTCTCTTTTAGTCTAGTTTAAACTTAAAATCCCTAGATTAAAACATCTGGGAGGTGGGGACCCTTGAAAATTCACAGCACATTGCCCAGAGATTTGACAGTATTATTTATTTATTTATTTATTTATTTACCATATTTATATACTGCCTTTCTCAGCCTAAGGCGACTCAGGGCGGTTTACATTCGGCACAATTCGATGCCCTCAACAACATAAAAACACTTTACAACATTAGCATATAAATTATAAATTCAAATAAAAGCAATAAAAACAATAGAAACATATATCCTCAATGTCTCCTTACTAAAATCATTATTCAATCACATTGTCCGGTTGTTCTGTGGGTCTATCTCTGCTTGTTAAGACCTGCTCGAAAAGCCAGGTCTTAACTTTTTTGCGAAATGTTAAGAGGGAGGGGGCCGATCTAATATCCCTGGGAAGGGCGTTCCACAGCCAAGGGGCCACCATTGAGAAGGCCCTGTCTCTCATTCCTGCCAAACGCATCTGTGAAGAAGGCGGGACCAAGAGCAGGGCCTCCTCAGACGATCTTAAAGTCCTAGATGGTTCATAAGGTGAGATACATTCGGACAGGCAAGCTGGGCCGGAACCGTTTAGGGCTTTATAGGCTAAAGCCAACACTTTGAATTGTGCCCAGTAGCAGACCGGCAGCCAGTGGAGCTGGCGCAACAGAGGAGTTGTATGCTCCCTGAGCGCCACTCAGGGAGTAGAGCAGAATCCATCTCCTGTCAATGGGTTAATGACTCTGATCTAGAGTTGCGTTGGTAAATTGCATTGCATTGCACTCAGTTCAGCAGTTTTCATCTCCATGAGCAGCAGATCTTTTATAGAGCTAGTCTTAATCTCCCATACAAGTCCAAGATAACCCAATATACTTTGCATAACAACTAGGATAACTCCAAACAATGCATCATTACTGGAAAAAATCCACCTCTTTGCCCCGTTACTGTGCTGAACTCATAGGGAACAGTGGATCTAGAGGAGAATGGCAGATGATACAATTAGCCTCTAGAACATGGCTCTATAGCCCGAAAAAACCCACAAGAACCTAGATGATACAATTGTCTCTGTCCATCAAAAAAATCCCATTGCTTTGATTTTGTTAGTCCTGGATCCAATATATCAATACCTGTTACGCACTGCAGAATGAATGAGGGTAAGAGAAATACTCTATGGGTGCATCTACACTTTAGAATGAATGCAGTTAGACACCACTTTAACTGCCCAGGCTCAATGCTGTGGAATCCTGGGATTTGAAGTTTGGTGAGGCACTGACAGGACTCCGGGTATCCTGACTGCTGTTTGATGAAGCGTCTCTTTAATACTTGAACACACTGGAGAAAAAATCCACTTAAAATCTCGTTTCTGCCTCCTGCAGATTTCTGAGGTTTGTAGTTTAGTGCGGCTGTTAAAGGCTCCTCCCTAAAATGCAAATTCCAGAATTCTGCAGGAGGCAGAAACTGGATTTTAAGTGGATTTTTTCTCTAGTGTGATGAAGCCCTTGCAAACCATCAGCACAAATGCTATCTCAAGACTTTTTTTGTCAAGACTGGAAGGTCTCTCTACAATAGCCTATATAAAGGCTTATATTTCAATTGCTCCCGAGATCATAAATCGCACTCATTTCCTTGTAACTCAATCTTTTCTATTTTTCTCAAGATCTTAGGATCAGTTGCCATTTTATTGTCTCTTGATTACCCCTTAAGAGTTCCCTATTCGTGATTTTATAGATGTATTTAACTGTGTTGTGCCCTGCCCCCAGCCAAAAGGAGAGTCAAGTAATAAATAAATTAAATAAATAAATTAAATCCAGACAAGACAGAGGTACTCCTGGTCAGTCGCAAGGCCGAACAGGGTATAGGGTTACAGCCTGTGCTGGACGGGGTCGCACTCCCCTTGAAGGCGCAGGTTCGCAGCTTGGGTGTGACCCTGGATTCATCATTGAGCCTGGATCCCCAGGTTTCAGCGGTGACCAGGGGAGCATTTGCACAGCTTAGGCTCGTGCGCCAGCTGCGCCCGTACCTTGGGAAGTCTGACTTGGCCACGGTAGTACACGCTCTGGTCACATCCCGCCTTGACTACTGCAACGCTCTCTACGTGGGGCTGCCCTTGAAAACGGCCCGGAAGCTTCAGCTAGTCCAGCGCGCGGCAGCCATGTTACTAACAGGAGCGGGACGCAGGGAGCACACAACGCCCTTGTTGTTCCAGCTCCACTGGCTGCCGATTTGCTACCGGGCCCAATTTAAGGTGCTGGTGTTATCCTACAAAGCCCTAAACGGTTCCGGCCCAAAATACCTTTCGGACCGCATCTCGGCCTATGAGCCCACGAGGACCTTGAGATCGTCTGGGGAGGCCCTCTCTCGATCCGCGCTCAAACAGGGCAATGTCTGGCTGAGGGCGAATGAGATAAGGGCCGTCTCGTTGGGGCCCACAGCAGACTGCTGGAACGACTCCCTAGCGCCAATACAGCAGAGCGCCTCCTTCTGTCTCCGTAAAAGAGCTGAAGACCTGGCTTGAGAAGGCATTCAACTGAGCGCTACGGCAACTGGTAATTGACAACTGGAACGGAATACGGATTACGATATTGGTTATGATTCTATGATGTGACGGAGCGGATTATTTAGTGTAACTAGATTATAGTGTATTATTGTTGTATTGATTTCCTGTTTTGCCCTTTTGTAAACTGTTTTTATATGTTGTGCACCGCCGCGAGTCGCCCTAAGGCTGAGAGCGGCGGTCAATAAATGCAGTAAATAAATAAATAAATAATAATAATAAATAAATAAATATCATTACTATTACTATTTTTATTATTATTACATGCAAAATAAACAGTATCACAACAAACATGAACTATGACATGACTACAATTCATGAAAGGCACACGACATTATCTGCTTTGAGCTGGAATATATCGCAGTGTGGACTCAGATATCCCAGTTCAAAGCAGATATTGTGGGATTTTCTGCCTTGATATTCTGGGTTATATGGTTGTGTGGAAGTTTCATAGTTCTAAACACTTAGGGTACATCTACACTGTAGAATTGGAACCCCCGGTGGCGCAGTGGGTTAAAGTGATGAGCTGCTGAACTTGCTGACTGAAAGGTCGCAGGTTCACATCCGGGGAGTGGCGTGAGCGCCCGCTGTTAGCCCCAGCTTCTGCTAACCTAGTAGTTTGAAAACATGCAAATGTGAGTAGATCAATAGGTACCGCTCCGGCAGGAAGGTAACGGCGCTCCATGCAGTCATGCTGGCCATATGACCTTGGAGGTGTCTATGGACAACACCGGCTCTTCGGTTTAGAAATGGAGATGAACACCAACTCCCAGAATCGGACACGACTGAACTTAATGTCAGGGGAAAACCTTTACCTTTACTTCCAATGTAGAATTAATGCAGTTTGACACCGCGTTAGCTGCTATGGCACTAATTCTAGATGCACCCTCATTTTGCCAAACTGCACCTTCGAGGTTTTTAAACATTTCTTTAAGTCCTATGATTTCACGGCACCTAAAGTGGTGCGAAACTGCAGTGTCGCTGCACTCTGAGTCACTGATGATGATGATGATGATGGCCTCAATCCTAGATATTCATTGAAAAACTAGAGCAAAATGTGCTGCAGGATGTCCCGTCCACAAAGATAAAGTTTTTGCAGTTTAATAAACTTTTCCCATGTTTTTATGATAGAACCAACTAGGAAATGACATTTATAAACCAGGAACAAAAATTGTGTTACATAGTGTTATTGACTTATATGAATAGTTTTCCTAAGATCAAGCAGTATCATATGTTCCTCCCATGGCCTGCTCATATCGCCCAGTGGTCCTCCGTGGGCATAAGGTGAGTTGGTCAATCTTTGGCATCCTTATAGCTTCTCCTACAACCCACATGAGTTCAAGCCAGCCTACCTGGCACAGTATAAGGCAGTGCGGGAATTGTAGCCTAAAAAGAAAGTTGCTCTGCCAATAATTTGAGCCTTATTCTGTTGAAGTATCCTCAAAAGTGTGCCTTACTTGTATGCAGGCCTGTAGCGAGGGGGTGGTTTTAGGGGTTCAACCCCCCCCCCCCGAAATGTTTCAGATTTTTTTTAAAAAACTGGTTTACTCATGAATTTTAACTGGTTAACCAAATCCCCATGCTAAGTCTATGAGATGCAAAAAATTAAGAGTCCCTCCAGAACTGCAAGCACTATCTCAGGCAAATATTGACAATTTATTCACACTGTCATTACTTGCAGCAATAGCAGATGTAGTGAAGCAACCAAGTTGGGGGTGTGTGTGTTGAATGCTCTCATTAAGGAGGTGAGGCGGGTTGAGCTCGACTAACCCTCTCGTTCCTGACTACACCCGGCCACCGGGTGCGCGAGCAGAGCCGGCGCTCAATCGTTCTCCGCGTTAGATCCCTTCCCCATGACCGGCTCCCTTTCCTGATCCCCCAGCGCTCCACCCGCCTCCTCTCCTCTCCCCAATCCACGGGTGGGCCAAGGGGCGGAGCCGCCACGCCTGGCCCGCTTCGGGTCCAGAGGCGTGTCTGAAGACCCCAGCGTGCGCACCAAAAGTCGCCTCTTCTCCTGACTTTCTCTTCAGCCATTGGGACCAAGA